AAAAAAAAAAAAAAAAAACACGTATTATCCAGTATTAGGAAGATAGCGTCTATCAAAGGTGGAATGGAATTATAATAAACGGCTTAGGACTCTTAAAGCAGAATTTTCACTGATAAATCAAGCAGGCTTTTCAGGAAACAAAAAGATTATTTGAGCATTTCAAAATGTCAGAGTTTGCACATGAGCAAGCAAATTACAAAAGAAAGGGTCCTCACATGCCAGACACCCTCCCTCAGGTACAATGAACTCAAGCATCCGCACTCACTGGATATGGAGTCTAAATTGGGCGATTCTCTTCAAGTAAATATTTTTGGAACTGGAGTGGAAATCTGCATTGCCTCTATCATGTAAATGGCGTTAATTTGCCAGAAATGCTTATCAACACAAAAAACAATTCAGCATTTAATATCAATAGCTTCTTTGGCAATCTCCACAGGTTAATGATCATCATACAGCAATTGGTTTTGGCTGTATAGCTACGTATTTCATCACACCTATGCAACTCTCACAAATTATCATGCCTCATTCCTTAAATTTTTGCACAATAGAAGTAATATTAATTTCAAGTAAATCTGATGTCCAAAGAAAACCCAGCAGCAGAGTAACATTCATTTTAAAAACCTATTAACAGAGACTATTTAGTGTGCTTTTAAAATTTATTTATAAATGATTCAGCTTACTGTCAGGAAGTTGCACTTCTCTGTATCTCACTAGCTGACTGGGAAGAAGTGGCTTGGTATGAGCGTGCTCTATCAGAGTGTCCTCAACCATCTGCATAATTCCTAAGGCAGCCTGAAAGGAAAAAAAAAAAAAAAAAAAAAAAGGAAAAAAAAGGATTTTAAGGATTTTAAAACAATTATCAGTTTTTCTGTACCTACCAGCAAACTGAAACTTTCTAATTAACAATGCTGATGTGAAAGGAGGCTGAAACACAAGAAAGAAGGGGTATTGTAATTTAATAAAAATTCAGAAGTTAAAAAGATGGACTTTTTTTTAAAAAAAGTTTTCATTACATATTAAACTACTTTATTTCCCCCTTCCACAACACTTCTAAGCGGGCTTCCTCTTTCTTCCCTTTACCACTCTGATGTACTCTATGTGCCAAAATGTGGGGGAAAAAAAGAAATCTAAACATCTACAATGTACGTTTGCAAAACCAATGACATGAGGTGGAATTTTAAGAAAACAAAGTAACAGTTCAAATATGCACTCTATTGATGCACAGCATTGGGTCAATTTTAAAAGTAAATAAGAGAACTATGGATAAACAAAGACAGAAAAACAATATATTGCTTTGTTAGGAGCCAAAGTTGAGGTCTGCTCAAGTTCGTTTTCTTACTCCCTATGTGTTTTGTACAAACTGGCAATGAAGAATAAAGATCCCAAGTCTGCAAAGGACTTTAAACTGGTATTAAATAAACAAGGAATCTGTCTGCATTTTTAAGGCATTTAAGCAAAATTGTTATTCTTATTGAGAGAAATAAATTTTTATTCTTTCAGAGATACGCAAGTTACTAAAAATGGACTGGAAAAAGGAATATATTTTAATTATTTTCAGAATTTCTTCTTTTTCCACACATAACTTCCACCCTGGCAATAAAAAAAAAAAATAAAATAAAATAAAAAATTAATTTGCACCGTAGTAAGCTTGAAGTGTAGACAAACAATACCTGTAACATTTTGTTACCTGCAAAGCATAAACCACTCTGCTGGAAAGCAAGATGCAGCCCAGCCAGGCCTGCCTGCCACTGGGCTGCTGCTGGCCTGCACGGCCCTGCCACCCATCCCAGGGCACGTGCAAGCGCCCGGCTGCGTCACCACCCTGCGCACCTAGGGCAGCGTCAGGCACCCTCTGTCCTGTGGCGGGTCTCTTGGCATTACCCTACCCAAGCCCCACAGCTGCACAGACATTAAAGCTCCAATTTCTTATTACAAACAATTCACGTGGTAAAATGTATCTGGCCATGTTTTTTTCTCCACCAAACTTGTGGTCATCCACCGTAACTGAAGCCTCAGCCCAGAGTATCAGGTCACACGGTTGAACGCAGGTGTGAAGCAGCTCTCCCTGTGTCCGGCACCTCCGCACGCTCCACACGTGCAGTTATTACCAAGGCACGTTTGGCTCCAGATCAGCATTCCCTGGGCAAAGGGTCACCTTTGCTGAGAGAGAAACACGCCAGTGACATCTCTATCAGTGCCAAGGTAGATTTGCCTGCAGCTCTTCTCCCTTCCCAACCTCTTTCCAAAAACAGAACTGTTTTTTTGCCAATTGAGATCATGCTAGAGACAAATCCTCCCTAAGCAGAGCTCACTTACTATAGGGGTCACACAGGCAACTTGAAGTCATCAGCGAGGCCAAACCCTGTTCAGATACATTTTAAATCCTTACTTCCCAGGCACACGAATCAGTGGAGGCTCAAACCCTTTCTGGGGAGAGAACTCCAGCTCCCCAAGGAGGAGGCCAGGAACTGTTCTCACAAATGCAGTTCTACAGAAGGATCAGAGATGAAGAATGCTGCTTTACTAGCATGTGGAAAGGAAAAAAATGAAGCACACTTGCTTTCCTACAGAAAGGACACTGAGTACCTATGGGTGAAGCCAGACAGCATGGCCACATTTACACCTCATAGCACAGTAAACATGATGGAGCAGGAAGAGGGAGGTGCTGCAACAGAAGAGTTCAGCAAACACAGGATTTCATGTGCATGGAGTGTGCCAAGCCAAGACTGGAGCAGAGGGAGGCATTACTGGATGCTTTGCTGCAGTGCTTGACTACTTCCAGTAAATGAGTGAGGCACAGAAGCTACTGCAGGTGGTGAGAAAATTAGAATTAACCATCTACATCAGCCACAACTTCCTCACCTCTCCCTCTCTCCCTCTCTCATGTCCAGGCCTTTCCAGCCCATTTTCCACTTTGGGCTCCCTTACTTATCAAAGAAAACTGTTTACATGCTCCAGTGTTGCACAAGAATGCTCTCTGGCGGGCTAGCAGTAGACTGCAGGAAGCAGAAGGTCAGGGCAAAGCTCCTGCTCGAGTTCTAGTCCTCACAGGAGCTGGCTCTGGACCTCTGGACAGGACCCAGCCCATAGTTTCATGCACCTGCTGAGTTAAAACAAGCTGCAGGGGCAAGTCGCAGAAAGAGACCAGAATCAAGAAATACAAGTAATGATCACCTATTGTTTTCAAAGACTTCCTGTCACAGATTTTTGTACTTTCTCTCTTTCATATCTATAGTTCACAGCTTGCAAATTAAAATTTTGTCCTCCTCACACCTAGCACAGGGGCTCCCATATGCCTTATCAAGCCAACAAACACAAGCTTCGTTGCCATTCAACTGCTGTTGGAGCAAAAACTAGGAAAGTTTTCCCCATCTTCATGATGGTGGAAACTACCAGTGAGACACAAACACTGGTAAAGTCATGGAGGAGCAAGAGAATCATGGCAACTCTTTTGATCTCGGCAGGCTCAGGAAGTTATCATATTGGCCCACTCTTGCAACCTTGCCATGCACAAATTCCTGGGGAAAAAATAAAACCAAAAAAGCATTGCATATTAGGCTAGACAGGCAAAACATCCTTAATGGTAGACAGTAGCACAATGAAGCCCCTTCTACTGATGAGAGATAAAAATGGATAGAGAGATGTCTTGGGGCCATCAGTGGCCCCAACACCACTGGAGAAGGTCATGCAAGTGAAGCCTGATTTGACCCCTGCATCTCTTACCCTTCAGAACCCCAGGAAAAGAGACTTCTGAGTGGCAACTGGCACTTGCTCCTCACCACCTTTCCAAACCTAAGTTCAGTGACAATCAGAAGCTGTTAACCTCCCATTGACCATAGCAGGTCACTTTCTTCACAGCTGAATGTCACTCTTTCATTAGTGATCTTTCCCAACAGTGAAGCTCAACACAGATTTGCATGAGTACTACCTTCTCGTTTCAGGGTTTTCTTTCTACAGCTGATCCTCTCTTGTATATGCAGAGCAAACCTCTGTCATTACTATTCTTAAAGATTGGCACTGCATGGAAAAGAAGCCAGCACTTCTTGATCCTTTTTATCAGACAGAATGTCTAGCAGTTCAGCCAGTTCCAGTGCCAGTTCCATCTACAGATCCACTGGTGGCCTAAAATATTATAATTGAGAAATTTTTGGTGGCTACGTTGAGCAAAAGACAGGGCTTCAGATTCACAAACCACACATACATCTGCACCCCCATTCGCAGGGCTGTTGCCAGACTGCAACCCATGCTGCTGTGGACATGAGCTAGAAAAGGAAACCGGCAGGAGGATCTTGTGGTGGTTGGACACGACTGGCAGCTTCAGAGCCTTAAAGACAGGCTGCTCTCTGCAACAGGGAGCTGGCCCACTGCTGTCAATAATTATTACCAAAAGGGAACAAGATCAGATGACTGGGAGGCAAAACATAGTTCAAGGAAAAACATGTACATGAAAGTCATGAAGAGCATTCTAACTAATCCTACAGAGACGCACCTGTGTATTTCTATTGTAGTCTAGTGTACGCAGCTCAGAGCGGCCGACTGTCTCGTGCATTAATGAGCAGGCATTAGTCCTTAACTTGTCTTATCCATTTTTAAAACTCACACTAAGTGCCGGAATATGATCACAAATCCAGTGTGATAGAATTCGTAAAACTACTTTGGAATGTTATTAAACTTAAATTGCGTGACCATATCCAGAGACAGAGTTCATAATTTGTATTCTGTTTAATATTCTGCATCAGTCCTTAATATTTTAATGAATCCTTATTCACTATCTGAAATTTTTCTTTAATGTCTTAAATATACTCAGGGTTTCTTTTTGAATAAACGCACAATAAAAGTACTGATTTTATTCAGTTCTACAGTCACTAATGTTTTCAGGAAATTTCTTGCTCCAGTTGAAGTAGTTTACACACAATAGGTCAAAAAAAAAAAAATTGAGCATCTTTTGTGAGAGGTAGAACTTTAAAGAATAATGCTGGTCTTTCTGTAGATTCCCCTTCATTTTGATCTACAAGAAGAGCAACCATACCCTCTAAATACAAAATGAACTAAATAAAAAATGAGCATCAAAAAAAGCAAACAAAAAACCTGAAAAATACTGGAAAATATATTGGACAGCAAAATCTTTTAGCCTGTGCTGCCACGTAAAATCACAATATAAAAGTGATTTCATATAAACATGTAAACAGGCTGGAAAACTTAAAAACAAGCAAAACAAAACAATTCCCAACCAAAGACGAACAAGGCCTAATAAAACAGTTTGAAAGGTTAGAGGAAAACACTATGTGTTCTGCCAATCAGTGCACCAAATTACAACCACCACAACAGTTTGAACATGACTAATTTACTATTCATCCCCCTATGGCAAATGAACGTGACAAAGAGTCAAAGAACACATATCAGAATGAAATTAATTCAAGTGGAAACAAGACAGTTCCAAGCTTTTAATCTCATTCAATACCAAAACCTGTCACGAGAGTATGTCAATTTTGATTAAATTTTTGATGGAAACATTTCTTGGATCTAGGTTACAATTTCTGGGTTGAAAAGAAGGAGGTGGTCAATGCAGCACAGCCATGATCTTGATCATCACAACATGGGCAATGAGTCTTCCTACTCACATTTTTCAGGGGAGGATTGCAGATCATTTCTAATTATTACACAGCTACAAAGATAACAATCAATCCTTCCCAATTCTCCCTGAGGCTTTGACTCGCTGAGTAGGCACTCATTATGCTAAAGAATGTATTTGTTTGTTACGACCGAATCATCATGAAAATATACACTCATCCTGATCAGTGATGTTTCAGAAAGAACTGAATTTTGTAACATATAGAAAGTGTGAGGAACTGGGAGGAGGGCAAATGATATCAAATTTCTTGATATGACAAACTCTCTATAAAATTAAACATTCTGCGGATGCCCCCAGAAGAACATTTTTGCATCCAGTGCTACTAGCCTCTTCATCTTTCACACACAGTTCTCCTCTTACTATGTAGTTTCTTCTCCATATATTCAGTAGATATTGACAGTATTTTAGTAGTGCTAGTAAAGTATCACAGAACCTGTATAATATCTTGATAGAAAAGAATGCAGACCTCATTTTTACTGTAAGAACAATATGTATTTTGTATTTGTACAAATACTCAGATCTTTGGTTAAATTTCCTATGCTAGTGGAAACCATTACTATTTTGATGCAGGATAGAACAATTATTTTCTTATTTTTACTCCCCAAAAGACAGAACTGAGAGCTTAACTTCATTTTTTATGGATCACCATTCCTTTCTAGCTTTGTATAAAGCACTTGGCAGGATTCTGGCTTCTTAGGTCTCTGTTAGTTGGCCTAAAACTTGTACATGGAAAAGCAAGATCTGTAGCACATTGTTCCTTATGCAGCTTGATCACATTACAGTAATGACATGCAAGATAGACTTTAAAATATTAAGATTATAAGCTGGTTCCTATTAAATCTCCAAGAACAATACAGGGACAAGACTTAGCATAAAAGAATTCAAAGTGGAAAAAATGACACTATGATACTCCCATAAAGTACAAGTCCACGTTTACAAGCACATTTGGTGAAACTGTTTTAAAATGAGAATACTTAGCTAGTCCTTCATTTCTAAGGTTGCTTTTAAATAAAAATTGTTTTATTGAAGGAGTATCATACCAACCTGTTTTGTTATATTGCCATGGAGAAGAGCTTCAATGTGTAACCGTGACAACAGTTGAGATATAAAGGCCTTGAGACGGGGAAGAGTGACATCTAGAATAGATATTTCAACAGTTATATCAATTATATGTATTTTTACATTAAGAAGTATCTAACTTATCATTATAATATGTGTATTTCTTAGACAAAAAGAAACTCATCGTCATAAAAAAAATGGCTCTCTTCTTAAAAATGCAGCACTGGAAAGTTTCCAGGTGTAAATGCATCACTCATCGTATAGTTTGCTTTGCTTAGAATTCACATATCGTCTGACCCAGATTCCAAAAGGGAATTAAAAAAAAAAAAAAAAAAAAGCTTTCTCTCCAGTCATGCTGAGCACACACTCTCTCTCCAGAGACAACAGTTGCAATCATTCAGGTGCTGCTCCAAGATAAAGTTTTAGCTATTAACTAAACAAATAGTTTATAATGCTTGAGAAACATTTACCAGCTAAACTCGAAACCTCTGCACAAACTATACATACGAAATACTTAGTTTAAAACATTTACTAGCCTATACACACACACTACTACGCTAGCATTTTTTTAAAGCTGTTTCTGTATGTAAAGCCAATGCAGGTTAACACACAGAACCAGTGGGTCAAGAAGGGCTCCCAAGAGCACGAGCTAAGGTCTGGCACTGCAGGAGCTCACTTCAAATAAAGAGTTCAAAATAGCTACCTTCATTAATTTGGTAGTAAGACATACTCCATGACAAAAAATATAAAGAGGAATGTTTAAAACTGGGAGATCGTTACCGTCTAGAGCTTCTTTTAACTCATCTTTGGTCCAAGCAACTTCGGTCATCAGGAGTCGGAGATAATACATTGCATGTTGATGAGGCTGTTCCGCCCTGAAGTTGTTAAGTGATCTCATATACTAAAACAAAAGTTAAATCAATTATAGAACTCCATTTCTAAACAGCAAATGGTAACTCTGTACATTGTGTACCATCAAAAACATACGTGTCAAATGTCAACAACATTCTCCTGCCTGTTAGATCGGTTCAACAACTGTGTTAAATCATTTTAATGGCAACGTGAGCCTGTGAGCAATGGATTAATCAGTACAGTTTAAATGAGAATAAAAGGATACTTAAATCAAAATATAAAATTAATAAGTGATGTTTGCATTATGGTAGGCATATCCTAAGTAAATATCTAGTTCAAGCTGCTTTCATCCAGAAATAGGCATTCGACAGTAACTGAAGGGAACCCTAATAAATGGATTTTACTCCCAGTTCCCAAGACTGAAATGCACAGAAAAGTACAAGAGCAATCAGGAAATTCTTTGTGTTCTTGGCCTAGTTAAGTGAGGTGTGAGAGAGGAATCAGTGAGTTTCTCCACACAAATTCATCTCTAACCCATTTCACACCTTTGCAAGGTAAGTGAAAAACTCCTTCCTCTAACAAATGCAAACTAATCGTTCTGGCAAGCTGGGATCTCCTGGGTTTACAGTGACATAAATAAGCACATCATTTACACTATAGGGGGAAAGTAACATTTCAGAAGATGTGGGCAAGAAAGAGCAGGAAGATGCTGAGGATGCATCCTGCTTCTCCCTGTTCCAAATAGCAGAAAGAAGCTGACACCTCCCTCATCTGTAGATACAAAGTGGGAAACTGCAATCTCCCCATCTGATATGACTTTTGGATAAGCAAAATAAAAACAAAATACCAAAAAGGTTTATACATTCAAATTCAATAAAATGACAAAATAATGTGTAATACAGAGCCAAAACTCAAGTAAGCTGTAAAGACAAACAGAGAAACATCACAAGCTAAAAGAAAAATCACACAAAATTGATTGTTCACAGACCCTTGGGGTTTTTGTCAAATCCAGTTAAACTCTTCAGACACGTAATGTATTTGATATGCACAGAACCCTGAACAAATGCAGTTGTAATAAATCTGCCCCCTGTTTGATGTACATCTACTTAAAATTTGTTATTGCATGGTAATGAACTAAAGATGGTCCTGGTGTTCATCCAGCCCAGTGAATCATCAAAAGCAGAGGATTAAGGTTAAGACTACAGCAAGTACAAAGTGATCTTGCACACAGTCACAGCTCTCTCATCTTCTGCAGACTATGTACAAACTTTCTGGGCCAAAAATAAGTCTGTCCCCCAACATCTGTCTAATCATTTTTCTGAAATCATTTTTATCTCCCTAATAACTCACAGCAATGAGTTCCAACATCGAATTGCTATATTCTTTTTGAAGTTTAAAAAGAATATATACTTCCTTTATTTTAGCTCTGTCTTCCTCTAGGGAAAACAGCTGAAGAGCAACTATTTACATTGTCTGGCATAGCAAACATAACCGATATTATAAATGTACTTAATGAGCTAAATAATCTTAGAAAGTTTTATTTCATAAATATGCATAGGACATTATATTTTGGAAGTCAAACTGACAGAAGTCAGTATGTGCTTTGCAAACTAGCTATTTTTGCACAAAAGAATACTAGTTGAGGAGCAGAGCTCTTTCACATCTGGAGAGAAGCAGCAATGTATTAACTCTTCTTAACATCTCATTACCCCATCTCTTATAGCCCCTTTCTTTTAGGTCTAGATCCCTTGGGCTTTTCCAAATAGTAATCTGAGATAGTTTAGATTCTTTTCCCCGCTTCTTACATTTCTATTCCTATCAAAGCATGTTGCAATAACCCCTTAGTAAATCATAAGAAAAATGGACTAATAAAAGACTCCAGGGTAAGTTATTCTTGACTGAAAAAATGTAGACTCTGGGGAACTTGTGGCTAAAGAAAAAGACTAAAGAAAAAAAGCTTCCAAAGACTCAGCAAGGTGGAACTTCACTTCACATCTCTCTGACTAATTAGACCCTCAAATTTCATTTCAAGTCAATGCATTCAAAACTCCTCAGGTAGCTTACCGCTTCCTTGATAATTTCAAATCTTTTCTCATCAATCTCAAAAGTGGCCATTTTCTCAATGATCTTCTTGAGCAAGATATGTTGCTTGTCATTATAACCTTTTACAGAAAGCTATGGAAAAAGTGCATAACATGTTTTTAAATATGGAAAGTTAAAAAAAAAAGAAAAAAAATTACCAAGATTCATATCATTCAAAGAAAAATAAACTCTTCAACACTTACTTTGAATTCAAGACTACTTTAAACTAACTTGTTCTAACATAAAATTATTTTACCCATCAAAAGATGACAACTAAATGATGAATAAAATATCACACATTTGCCCTGGAGTGATGAATTTAGAGAATTAATATAAATTCATTTTGATGTAACCAAGCTAGAACTCTGAATATAGTTTTTTGTGTACAAGCTTGGGTGCAGTCAATAAACCATATATTCAGAATACTGAAATGGTTTTATTCTAGATTTGTTATGGTAGTAATGAAAATGAGACTCACAGTCCTCTTAAATATTGCCTCCAACTTACTTTAACTCTGAAGTGTGTCTAAAAACGAACAAAAAGAACTTTTCTTCTGGTTTTGTTTGTTTTTGTTTTGTTTTTAATTCTGACCTTGGTAATGTCAGCAAGCTTTGAGATTGAAAATAGGTAGCCATGTTTTCAGTAAGTGGATGCTATTAGAAGATGCAAGATCAGATTTTTCTTGGAGAAAAAAAAAATGCAGGAATAAAAAGAAAGTTCTCTTCTTCATGTAAGAAACAAAGACAATATGCAGTAGTCTCCTACTAAGATTATCTTGAAAATCATACTCTCATAAGGAATTTCAAAACAAATTTTGCTATGAAATGATGTTTAACAAAAGCTTTTAGCAGAATGTCAAGAGAGACTACTAAAGTCATCTATAACATATCTCGTAGGAATAACTATTTATCATAATACCAGTATTTATCAGGTAAATATTGTCAGCACTTCAAGATACATAAGTGAAACAAGTTAGGGAAGCCATAAATACACAGCCTTGCATTCTAGTGAACACATGCACAAGCCATTTCCACAGTTCAGTACTGCAGAATTAGAGCATTACAACAAAATCTGTTAAGTTTCATCCAACAGAAAAGTTAATCTGTTTAATATAGAAACCAGCAGTATTGCTTTCAAGATTACCATGCAAGAAGATAAAAATGTGAATTACAATGCAGCAATTGCACAGCACACATGGTCACAAGACACTGCAATCCTTAGTCATTCACTACTCATTAAAATTAATCATCTTGTTTTGCCTTTAATTCGTGAGATATATTCAGGAAAAAATAGATTTTTAGAAATGCAGAAGTCAAATGTTCTCTCCAAGCTCAACAACTCCCAAGCTGTCTCATAGCCTCCTGTTTTTTTCTTACTTACAAGTATTGCATTCATTCCTGATGCAATGCCATAGACCAAACCTGAGAGGCGTGCTGCATATGTATACTCTTTTAAATCATCCTTCAATAACCTGATAAACAGGTATGTCATGTTGCAATGGAGAGGATCAGCATAAATGTAGCGACTAACAAAAAGAAAAACAAAAGAAATGCTTTGATACCTCAAGCTGTGACGAAGTAATGGATGAAGAAACATGACTGAAGAGTATGTATATGCAGCCTCATGATCAGTACTTCTTGGAAAGGAAAGTTGAAACGTACCATTTAACAGCAGTGAAAGGGAGTTCTACTCCCCCCAAGTCAGAAAGTTTTTAGTAGGTATCTGACAAACTGAAATAAAATCTAAGCTTGGATTAATTTTTTTTTTTTTTTTTTAAAAGGAGGAACAAATCTTAGAGCTAATTAATTCCATGGATGACATAAAAAGAAAGAAGAAATTTGCTTAATATGAATGGAAAGATAGTTGAGGATTTTGAATAAAATTCAACTTAAAATTCAAATTAAGGAAAGGATGGTTAATTATCAAGATCAAAAGGAATAACAGTCCTAGACCAAAAATGGAAAAAAAAGGCCACTTTTTAAATAAAAATGCTTCCATCAAATCAATATAAAAATGTCGATGAGTGGAAGTAGTTTCAAGGCTCAAAGTTCTTCCTTGATTTGTGTACTTACATACATCCCATAGATGGTATTTTGGAGATCATAGTTCAAGCCAGCTAGTTCTGCTGCATATGCATACTCGTTGAGGGAGTCTTTGAGTAGTTCAAGGTACAAATAGGCCATGTTACAATGCAAGGGATCCACGTAAGCAAATGGGCTGAAAGAAAATGTTGAAAGTAAAATATGCAGTTTAAAAATATTTCTCAGTTTCTTTTGGCCTTCTCAATTTTGACAGAAACTATATTTCCTGCAAGTACGCTGATGGATCCCATTATGAAAGATTCCTATTTCAAAACCAAATATGACGATAAGCTGAAAATAATTCTTTAGCTTGCTTATGGCTGGGTGTTGCCTGAGTACATTGAAGACTCCAGAGATACTCTTTTCATTTATGCTGGAAAATCAAACCAGGTTATATTTACTTTGCTGCAAAATCAGAACACATGAAGTGTAAAATGAGTTAAATACACAATCATAAACATTATTTAATTGGCTTAAATTAGTCTAGATTCTAAACATTAATACTTTTATGCTGTTAGAGAACACAGTAGTTTCTATTATAAATTAAGAAGTTAGTGATTTGTGGTATGAAAAAATATGCAGTACATCCTAAGCACAGCTCAGGAAAGAAGCTAGGCATATTCAGTTTCATACCCTGGTAATTTTGTGTGTGGGGTTTTTTTTTTTTTTTTTTTTTTTTAATGGCAACAACTACACTTGCTCTACTGTTATGTTAGTATCAGCAAGTCATAAACAATATCACTGCAAATCTCTCTAAAAGAGAAATGCAACTCAAAGACTCAAGCCATGTTTCTGGAGTACATGTGCAAACCAATTTCACAGCAATTATTAGCAGTTTCATTGCTGTCAAGACACTGCTTACCATTCAGAAGCATGCCATTTCCTTTTTATTTCTCCTAATCAACCACTAATGGTCACATTCAGAGACAAGCTACCATTTTTGATATATTCAGGTTGACCCTACCATGATACTTTGTAGTGTATACTAATATCAACTCAGTAAAACAAGGACAACTCAGTATCATCAGTATGGGATTTATGTCCCATGTTTGAGGGAAAGAATTTCACAGCCCTCCTCAGCTTCACCTCAATTCATCTACGCAGGCTGGTGCTGCTAGAGTCTCTGTGTCTCCTTCCAAAGAACCATGATGGTTTGGGCTGCAGACAGCAGAAATCCTCCTGCTTTTTTACTAGTATATTGAAGCAGCTTACAGTGTGAATGGGATGCGCTACAAAGCAGCACTGGCTCATTCTAGATAAGAAGATGATGGCTAAAACTTTAAGGAAAGCATTTAAGATGGATTATTCATAAACATCTTCAAGAGAAAAGACATCCAGAATTCTACTTAAACGAAACAGGCACAGAAGCCATAGATATTTCACTATTTCTCATTAGGAAATACTATACACATTTTACCTTTTCTTCTGATGACAATCAGTATGACCATTCCCAAAATGGAGAGAGATTAACTAAGATTCAATTTAAAGTATCAAAAAAATGTCAAACTTCTCTTGCCACTTTTTTGGAGATGATGTAGCCAATATAATCAACGTCTCTTCATATCCAATCATATACAATTAATGTAACTTTGTGTGTGTGTGAGAAAGGTAAAAACACACAAACCCCCAAACCAGAGCCAGCTTTCCCCCTACTGTCATTCCAAGCAGTAGAGAGGCAAATCATTGCATTCGACTTGAGCTAGGAGCCCAAGCTCTCTTAGGCCTTCAGAAGGACTCTGAATGGAAAGGACAAATCATCTGGGAAAGACTGTCACATCCACACTGGACATATATGCATATATTTATACCAGTGTGTGCTCTATATAAAATGTATTATTTTATTTCAATCTTTCATAAACTAGGTTAGATATTTTACCCCTCATAGTTCATTCAGATATTCAAAATACCTGTACACCATAAAATCAGTCTCAATCTCTTCCAGGATTTTGGCAAGCATAATAGAGTGGAAATCCATGACAGGCAGTTAAACTTTGCTCTTCCATTTCCTGACATATGAAAGTTGAAACAGTTGAAATGTTTGTCCACGAGTCTCAAAGAGGAAACAGAATGAGGAAAAGTTCCAGCCAATCTATTTTGCCCAACCAGTGGCAAGCATTAGTACAAAGTTATGCCTTTGAATTATGGGAATACCTTAAACAGCAGCTATAAAAATATGTTCCTTCAGTTACGGTGTTCAGATTTTATATTTAAAATATTTTCAGACAGGCAAGTACTTTTTCCTTTCTCCTGACTACACTCTCTACACAAGCTTTAAGTCAGTTACTATAAGGGACTTAATAATAAGCTGTTAAAATCATAATTTAAAAAATATGTTAAATCATAATTTAAAAAAACCTCATTTTTAAAAAGATATATTGCAGTAAGTAGTCTTGCTATTAACAGGTGTATTTCAGGTATAGTAACTAAAATATAAAAGAAAAATTGTTTCGATAAACTTTTCATGCTAACACAGACGACCCCTACAACTGCTTTCTGTTCCACTACTGCGTAATTCATATGAGCCTTCCTGCAATCCATATCTTACTGCGTATCACCGAGCAAGGACGACCATTTCAAAGACTCATTGCATGCAGTGAAGTTTTTGATGCATAAATGCAGATTTTCAGCAAACAAGAAAGGCCTGGAGTGCATTTTGTATGATATACTTAGCATATTGCATACCTGAAAAACTCAAAGTTGAGACAAGCCTTTGGCAAAAAAAATTTGTCATCTTGCTTGAACCATAGTTTGCTCATAGCAGTGTCCTGTGTCAAGAAAAGAAGTTTTTTTAATGAAATTACCTTTTAACTGCAATGTTAAAAAAATACATATAATTACTTCTCAACTCAGTTTATTTTTGCTCCTGAAATTCACATTTTTCTTATAGACATTTCTGTATATGTCCACCAATCCTTAATGAGACTGTCTTCTCATTATTCATATTCTTCTCATATATTACTCATAGTTATTTGTCATCTTAACAAGCAGTTAAACGGTTGCAGCTTTGTGAATAAGTACATGATCAACATGGGAGTAACTTCTCTAGAGCAGGAATGGACAAAGGTAACTATAAAGTCTGCTTCAAGAAATTTCCTGTTAGTGCTGGCATTAGGGATGTGCCATGATAGGGAGAGCCTAACGGTAATTACAGTACTATCACAGCTATAAAAATTTTTGACTAAGAATTTCTTATAATTGTTATTAAAAATTATGAATGCACATTATGCCGCTTTAAAATACATTGATAATAAAAACCCACCTACATCTAGAAAAAAGTGGTAGAACTAGTCAAAAATTAATTAAAACATATACTCAGTGTTTTCCCCTGTTAAAAATATTGCTTCAAACATATGCCTAAAGTGCATTATGCATAACAGATATGTTCTTCCAAAGGATGAGTTTTCACACTAAAATAGACTTAAACTAGTGTGCAACAAGTATTCCGAAACTCATTTATTATTCAAGCAGAAATAGGACACAAAGTAGCAGAAGATATATCCTAATTACTCTCCTAAAACATAAATGAGCATTAGTAGACATCTATGTTTCAGTAAAGTAGTAATTAGGTACTCAAAAATACTGAGTACATATTGAGGCTCACTGAATGAGCTTCAAGGATAGTGGAGAGCAATGTGTATGTGTGTGTGCATGTCTCCACACACAAATGCAAGCTTCTTCCATGCAAAAAACAGCTGTGATTACACCTTGGACTTACTGAATACTTATCAAAGAAGTCATACTTATAAAGAAGTACTTATAAAAGTGGCATTTGGCCTTCTGCTGAATAAACATGAAGTTTCAGTACAGTTTCTGTCAATTTCAGACAGAAACTTTAGGAATAAGAAATTACCTCATTTTTAAAAACGTACAAAGAAGTAACAGCTAAATTCCCAGAAGACTATCTAGCAAACAAAGCAAATACAGCCAACTTACTTTGACAAGGGCTGGGTACTGTGTTGCATCTTTTTCCAATGGCAAAATCTCAAAGTTAGTAGGAATGAACTCATTCTTCATTGGGAGCTTGAATTTCCCATTCAGGTCAGCATTTTGCCATTTCTAGATTTGTAGGGGAAACAATGAGGACAAGTGGAAGATAACAAGTGGAGGGTAACATCTGCTTAATTAGTATAGATATTCTTTTATGCTGCACCAATACTTACTTCTTTTATGTTCTAAGAGATAATACAAAATATGTTGCAAAAGCTTACATGTAAGTGATAGCAAGATAACAAGAAAAAAACAGTCTGTAACTGTAGTTGGAGCAGACCAACTACTACTAAGAGGATGCAGTGCTCAGTGCGGGGAAGACGAAAGATAAAAAAAATAATTTTGGGAAGTTCACCATACAGTGGAAAGCAGTTCTGCATCTCACCAATCCGCCTACTGTGAACGCGAGGCGAAGTGAAGGCGTTACACAAAATACGTAAGCAAAATTCTGTCCAAGAACACAGCTACAGACAAGCTAAATGAAGCAATGTGTTCTAGGCAAGACCAATACAGCCCCTGGGCATATCAAGCAGCCCTCTCTTCTTCAAAGAACAATGGATCACTGCACTCAGCAAGGGGTTGACTACTTCCTCTTTTGGAATATTGATTTTCAGAAACTCAATTTGCAAAATTCCTTCATTTTATAAGCCACAAAAATCAATTTCAGAAACACAAGCATATAGCAATCATAGAAACATTCATTTTTAAAGGACAAAGTACTGCATTAACATTTAATAGAGATTTTTATTAGCCTTAAGTGAAGCCTTATATTTTTAGGTAGCTATCGCATACTACTTACCTTTTACATAAACATTGTGTACTATTAATGTATCTAATCTTCGTTTGAAACATTAACATGGCTTAAAACCATAAAATGTTTTATGTAATAAAACCATGAAAATTAGAGACTAACAGAGGATCCTATGGAGAACACAGGATCCTTACTGCTCATAAACAGGCTCATTGTACAATTGCCATTGTAGAACAATTGATTTAAATTCTCTCTTCTGTTAAAGGGAGAATCAAGTAAGGATTTACCACTGACTTTCATTAAAAGATACTGGAAATATATTAAGTTCTTTAACATGCCTTAATGACTTCATCAGAAATTGCTTCTTGTTTGTACTGTGTTCCATACCAGTCTTCCGTTCGATCAGTTTTTCCTTCAAAAGACTTAGAAACTATTGCAACTCTGAAAACAAAGAGACAAAGCACTAAGTATCAATATACTTCAGAAAAGGCTATGCAAAAATATCCCGAGAGCTGTTTCCATGCCATCACTAGAAAGCATTTATTTATGCACCTGGTCCTTGGAGGTGTTGGACAATTTATAGAGTACATTTAGATAGCAAATACATGCACACTGAACTACCCACTAACATTAAGCATGAAATCGGATTACTGCTATATTTTAATTTTACTGGTTTTGTATAATGTTAGAGTTTGAGGTTCTGCACAATTGGTGCTGAAAAATCCATTTCTAAGTCTTTATCTTGTTTCATAAAACACAGAAAGCAATTACCTTCTAAACATTCTTCATACCTCCTGTATCAAAATTCAGATAAAACTGACTATGAAAACACTATTTCATCTTTTTCTGTTGAAATACAATTTTATTCCAGACCTAGTGATTTAAATTATATTACTGCAATTTCACTTTTCCATTCATGACCCAGTTAATAGCAAGCAAGTCATTAAAGGTCATTCTCATTTTGGATATCCGTTTCTTTTAGGAGGTGGGGTGGAAAGTTAATACATTCTACAGTCAGTACAATGGCATTGCATTTGACGATACACCAACAGAACATAGTGAAAATTAAAAACCATAGATTCCCCGCCGCCCAGTACACTTTAAGATAGGTATTAAGAAAACTCTCTTAATTATGCTTATCAGCCTACCACACATAGGAATATTCAACAGAAATCATGTGCCAGCTTTTTAAGTATATAAATGCTTATGAGAGCAGAAGTGATCAGAAAAGTTCGTGCAGTTACCTCCCACACGCATTTAACAATCCCTAAATACTGAATAGTACAATATCGAGTTGTATCAAATCTCATACAGAGGACTAAAATGCACATAAAAACATCTAAATGTATGCAATATGAGTGTTGCTTTATTTCACAATATCTTCAGGCTAGTAACACTCTGCTGGGTATTTCTAATGTTCATAGCAAAGCGGTGTTGAATCAAAATGCGCATAGGGACGTGCCTCATATCGCAGTATTTCACTTTACAAATATGTTATTGGAGAATATCCTCAGGACAGAGAGGTTTAAATACACAGAAGACTAATAATCTAAATGATTATGTCCTCATTCCTCCTTTTCCTTCAACTATTTACATATAAATGGATAAAAGATCCAAGAAAACTGAAAAAAAGGGTTCTACTGTTCCCAGATCTAGATTCCTCCACCATCAAGATTTTCAGATTACCATAATTTAACCTGTGCTTTGCAACTCAAGCAGCATGAAGACAATGGGGTAAAAGATCACTCAACCATTACATAAAAAGCTACCATTAGACACATTAATATAAATGAGAAATGTATCTTGAAGAAATACACAGTATTGTTCAGTCACATTCTCTAGCATTGATTAAAATATTGAAATAGGATTTGTTCTACAGAGTGTCTGATTTTGAGAGAGTATTTCAAGCCATGCAGACTGAAGAGGAGTGATCAACGTCACGTTTCAGAGATAGAGATGCCTGCCTCCAGGGTCACTGCCTCCAGGTAATCCTTAGTCTCCACCTCCGAAAGCAGCCCGTGATTAGCGTGGGGGAGCAAGAGCACCCTTGCTCTTCTGCAACTGCTAAGCAGTGTCCAAACCAGCATGAGAAGATTCATCTCGAAGAGACATGTCTTTGATCTTCCATTGCAAATGCCAAGAGATGATCTAACATCTTTACTGTGACTTCCCATCAAGTTTTCATATCTATACTTTTATCTATTTCATGTTTTATAAAAAAGAACCAATACTAGATAAACATTCAAAGAGCTAAGCATCTTAATTCCAGAGAACATTTGTTCTTGTAACACAGCAGACACTAGCTCAGTCAACACAGTGAAATCTATTAGAGATTGTTGTTTATGTAAAAATGAGCCATAGGAATATTCTGCCATGTTTTGCATTTTAACTTGAACAGCTGGTGAGCAGAAGCTCTACTGTTTACAAATGAAGTTGCTAAGAGACTATAAAACCCATAAAGTGTATTAGAATTTTAGAGAAACCTGCTCACCCTCCTCCCCATCTTCATTTTTTCCCAACTGCAAGCTGGTCTCAGCTTTTACAATTTCAATCATCCCGCGGCCTGAGCACCAAGACTAAGGGGTTTTACTCCTCTGCCCTTAGAGGTCTGCTATTCCCCATTCCCTCCTCCTCTCATCCTGCTGCAGGCATCGATGCCCACAGCAGCAGTGGCAATCCAGGCATCCACACGTCTGCTATGGGAACACGCTAGAATGAAAGAGCTAAAAATAATTCCGCCTGCTCAATGTACAGAAAATGGAGCTATGGAAATCAGTATTCCAATTCTTTTTGTATTTCTGCTTTAAGGGAGCCATCAAGTCACAATTTATTACATTTTGGACTTCGAATTAACATTCACTACCATCTCCAACAACCAAAATGCCTTTAACCAGCCTGAGATTTACAACCTAAAACAAGAGACAGCCACCAAGAGCAACAAACAACAGGACAAGAAAAGAGAAGGAAAAAAAATGATCACAAGTAGAAATATAACGTTTTGCAGCTATTTAAATGTGTCATGGCGCATCCTTAAAGTCACCAATTACGTAACGTTATTTTGCTTTTCACTCCTGCATTGTGCTATATAAAACTATGAATATCCACACAGCTTGAGTCAGAGCTGAAATGCACTGGAAACGTAAGCAGGTCATCGTCAGCAGGATCTGCTCATTTAAGCCGAAGCAATTAGGCTTCTAACCATTTATGAAGAGGCAGCACAGTTAGAATTATAAATACAATTTACTTCTACATGTACATTCTTGTATGCAAAAGCTATGGTAGCCCTTAGTTAGTCAGATTCAGTTCTTAAAAACAAGCACAAATTCCATAATGTGAAGCTGGATACGATCGCATTTTTCACTCTCCTGAAATGCAACAAGCAGAAAATCCGCAGAATGATGTTTCTTGGAAAGGGAAGAAATGTGCTCTAAAATAAATGCATTTCCAGGTAAGAATACCAGCTATTGCATTCCAGACCTACATCATCATCATCATAATAATAATAATACACACACAAAAACCCCACAAGATTCTAAGGGCAAAAAAAAAAAAATACATTTGAGAGCATAATATTTGATGGCATTAGTAACTACGTCAAAGCTTCCCCTCCGCCCCCCCCCCCAAAATATGATTTTATACTTAGCAAAGAACAATTGCTGTTTTATGAAATAACTTTGCCTTCCAAATAATGATATTCTTAAATAAACAATGGAAGAATATTTATGTAATTTGTATATCTTGTTCAAAATGCATATAAATGTCATGATGAAGGCAAAAAAGACTCAAAAACCTAGATTTGTTTACAACTTCAGCAACAACAAAAGCCCAGCAAGACTTACGACAGGCAATACAGCCTACTGAAAGCCACTCTCACAAAATCTCATTACGAAATACAATCAAAGAAAGAGAGAAAAATAAAAAAAGACAGATGTAGCTGGAGTGCAGCACTCCAGTGATTTTGCAAAAGCAAGAGTTATTTTTTAGGTTTCAGAACAATCACTAAGACAATCTCTACACATACAATAGTTTGGGACAGCAAAGAAATGAACAAAATGTGATTTTCAAAACGTTTACTTCAATATAGTGTAATAGAAAAAGAAAAATATATATTGTATTTGCAAAGTTTCTTGTCAGGGATAGACACCGACAAGTGCACAAGAGTCACCGTTTGCTCAATATCCCTGGAATTTAGGCCTCTAAAAGTTTGGGTATCAACATATCTGTCTCTCATTCTATTTTCCTTCCAACTAGGATGCTAGCAAAGCTGCGCTTCAGATATCAAGAAATAGGGGGGAAAAATCCATTAACTATCCAGGAAAAACATGTTCTTTAGTTACTCAATCTGATGAGTCACTAACTTCTCAAATTTTAATAGCATTTATTCTGCAGATGATAAGAAAAAGAAAGTATTAGAAACGATGGCAAAATTACTTTTTTCAGCTGAAACTGCAACATATGCCAAGTCTCTTCCCTTATCTCCACAGATGGCTGGCAAAACCCAGTGCAGTTTAAACAAGTAAAAAATGATGTCTGCATCTTAAGGAGGTTTCTCTCTTAGGGAAATTAAGCTACTAATGCAACAAGTAGCATGCGGGGGGCAGGAAAAAAGTGGGGAGAAATATAAAAACTTCCTGTTATGGTTCAGTCAAACTGAAGAGCATATGGATAGTTGCTGCCATCTGCAAGTATGGATATCTTTCCATATTATTTAAAAACAGACTTTGTTAAGAAAATAACATAGCTAAACTAAACTTTTAAAAAAAGATAATGAACAGCAGTCTTTTAACAGGGAATATAGCTACGCCGATGCAGGTAAGCCAAGAAAAGTCCTTAAAGGGAGAATTTCAACAGTGTTAGAAAAAGGAAATGATAAACAAAACCAATGCTTTCAACTAAGGGAAACTACATCATTGCACGGCACACTTTATGCAAGACACAGAAGGTAAGAAAAGACAAACAGTCAAGGTTAGGACACTGTGTGTACGTACATGTATATGCACAGACACATACTCTCTGGATACCAACTTTCAGTTTTCTTGTCTGTCGCTGGCTGGGAAAATACTTAGGGAATACTGGGAAAATGACTTAGGCCGAAGCCGATGTCTCAGAAAGTAGCTTCCAAAGAAGCCAATACAGCAGGAACTGTTTTCAATGGCAACCAGGACCCTAAATATAGTTCTTAATACAAAGAGTTTTCTATTCATGAAGTAGAACTTTCCTACTTGGCAGTAGACCAAATAAGAATGGCCATCAATCTAAAAAAAATGCACAACTAAAATCTAGTTTTTGTGGTATTACAAAGGGCAGAAAATGCCCATCATAATACATCTTCCTGAGTATGACTTCTATGATACCAGTGATCAGGGATGATGAAGCATCTATTAATTATTCCACAAAATAGAACAGAAAGGTAAATATTAGCATAAATATCAGCGAAATGGCTGATAACCAAAAGCATATAGATTGTTTAAAAGCTCATGTACCTGGTTTCGTTTTATTAGTACATACAATTTGCTCAAGTGAAGGAAATAGGTTAGGAAATAGTTTATCACATCCGTGTAAATACAGACATAATCAAAAAATGAGAAGCATACAGAGATCCTTTTATTAGCATCTATAATATCCTATTATTCTTTTATGACAGCAATATCAACTTCCTAAAAATGCAAATTCACACTGACTTCCTTGAACCTTTGTAATATATTACAAAATCAATTTAGGTAATATTTAACTAAGGCTTTTCTTTTTCCCTTCCAAAAGATATTATCTTGATGGTAATTTAAAATAGAAGTTACCGCATAGTGATGTTCCAGTTATATTTTACTACATTTTTAAACATCCTAGGTAAATACAAGATGAAAAAAATATTTTCATTATAGTCTTTCTTTCTAAAGATAATAGTTTGAAACAGGTCTAAGAGAAGTTTATTACTGCATACTAGGTGATACTTTATTTCAATTACATGAAAACAGGAAAATCTCAGAACTTTAAGCAGTTCATTCCCTGATACAAGCATTCAATTCTATTAAAATTAGAAGGACATATAGTTCTACCTCTGAGGAATATATCTTATGATATTACTAAGCTGCAATGCAATAATTTTTATGTAACATATACAAACATGCTACATAAAAGCACAATTCGATTTTTTGTTTTCTATGTGAAAAAAGGTATCAGAAAAGCAGGAAAAAACAACATGACCTTTGAGATTCTCAGATTTGATTCAGGGCTTTGGGGAGAGGCGCATCCCAGACCCTTGTGAGGTTCTGGTGTCAGCTCAGGCCTGATCAGCCCGAGGTCATGGTTTTCAAAAAAAAGAAAACAACACTTTAATATAAATGCCAGACTGAACACACAGAGAGCCAAGATGGGAATGCAGTTGTCATAGTAATAGCAAATTAACATGGGCACGTTTAGTTTACATATAACAAGCAATACATTTATCCTTACTGGGACCATCCATCCACCTTTGCAGCTCAAGGACAAAGCTTTCCTGCTGCTCCAGCCCAACTGCCTCCCTGCTGACTTTGTTGGGGCATGTTAAGAGAATCACTGCTGGGTTGAACTCTGCTGTGCAAACTGGATTTATCCATTTTTCAGGCACTCTTTAATTTGTCCGTGTTTATTTTAAAGCCTGGACAGAATAACTGTGCATGTTCAAGCTTCTATTTGCTATCTTTAAATCCTACTAAAATTTCCTCAACAAAAAGAATATATCAATGTATTTAACTACACAGAAATCAAAGAGGCCATAAATGTAGCTTAGGTTCTAATTTTAAAGTCCTTTAAAGTCTCCCAATATTTTGTTTAAAACAAAAGACTAAAATTACATTATTATCATAATTCTTAAATCAGGCAAAACATAGTAACAATGCAGTTAGTCCTCAGGGAAGACTAATAAAACATATTCCTTTAAGCATCCAAAGCTGCTGAAGAAATCAGAGTGAGACCTAAGCCAGCTGAAGCCTAAGATCCCCCAGCACCCAGATAGAAAGAAGCCCCTGGATGCCCACCTCTTTCACAGCCTTTTTGACTCGGTCAGGACTGGGTTGGTTTGTATCCTCAAAGATAACAGTGTGTATCTTACTATCTACCCATTCCACCCAAATAATGACACATCTGCTCTTCAGTCATAAGAATATTTAATCCTTTTCCGGCTTTGTACTCTGAGGCATAAGGTCCTTTGCAGAGGTCAATCACGACAGATCAATCCTTTCGTCAAAAAATCTTGGAGGTTTTTTTCAGGCAGCATTTGCAGAGCTGCTGCTTCAGTTTTTATACCGTGAGGAACCCTCCAGCACTACTTCATTTCCTTGCTTTTGGGGATGGTCAAAATACGGATTCCAATGTGCTTTCATGTACATTACAACTCAGGACAATGAATTCCATAGGTCTTTTATACATGCACATGTATATGGATACATATGTGTATATATATGCACATACACACATAATTGCATTCAAAAATATATTTTTTTTTTAATTAAAATGCATCTTTGCTCAATTTCATTAAGAACTGTGGAATTCTTCTAAGACAGGGAGAGCAAGGACATCCAGAGTACTCTTCTTACAGACTTCTTGCTTTTGATGCATCTTCCCAGTCTGTTGTGTCTAACATCCTTTCTAAAGACTAAATTCCAAACCTTTTTCAGATGTGTTTTTAATCTCTCTAACAACGAGCAGATTTCTTTTCCATCTTGATTTTCTCGTCTTTTTTTTAAAATAAAGAGAACAGAACAACTCAGTATTGCAATTGTACATACAAACAAGGCCTCATATTGATAGAAAGAGAAGAATCCTTGCAGTGGATACGCCTACTACACATCTCTCAAAAGCCAAAGCTTGCAGATCACACCACATAACATCCCAAAGTCTTATAAAAATTGTCACCACTATTAATCTTTAGGCCACATGCCCCAAACCTCATTTTTCTCCCTCTACCCACATTCTCTACACTTGCCTTTCTCACACTAATAATCTTTGAATGATGCTAGTTTTGGCTATTTGAGCTGGAAAACTGTCACCGGGATGGGAGCAACAAAGGCTGGATTTGCCAGTCACAGCAGTAACAAAGAAATCTGATGAGTGGTCTGCGGGGTCCAGCAGCCTCTGCATTTCACATATAACACACTCAAAATATCTATGAATTTATTTAAATCTATTAATTTCCCATGGACATTTTTAGAAGTTTCAGCAAGTAGACACTTTGGCAGCGCTCTGCCAGACAGCATAAAGACAATATTTCATTACAGAAGTTATCCTTCTGTAAGGAAATACTTCTGTTTTCTAAAAAAATCCCAGGAGTCACATTTAAAGCCATAATTAACATCAGGCCCCATTCAGCACCTGTAGCTTATTTACAAAAGCAATATTAAAAAAAGGCTTCCCTATCGCTTCCAAACTGTTTTAAAATCAGTTTAAAGTTCATATCCCTTTTAAGTTTCTGATTAAGCTTTCTTAAGGAAATTAGCAATTATATATTTTCTCTTTTAATAACTAACAACAGTCTTTATATTGGAGGTAAGTTCTTGTGTCAAGTTTCAAAACTTGGGCAGTAAATCAAGGAGGAAAACATTCAAAATAGACTTATTTGACACAATAGGAAATAGAACCTGGAAATTCTCAGTACTGCTTGTTCAAAATATGTTCTCTCCAAATATTCAAGCTTCAGCTGCAGTATCCCACACACATCACACAGACACACGCCCACACACAGATATAGGCCCTTCTTTAAAGGGCATTAATTACTATGGCAACTACAGTCACTGACATATGCAGTTACATTTATTTTACCATTACTAGTATAGCCCTATGAATCCCATGACATTTGGAAATGTAGATCATAATCCAATTTTATTCTAATATTTCCAATAACAATGTAGTTTAAGCAAAATTAATATACAAAAGAGATGCTGTCACATAGAAAAACATAATGAAGATTTATAACCCAAATTTTTAGATTTTCAAAAGGAATTTCACAAGGCTGGAATACATACACTTAAAATTATACGAACACATGCCTCACTGTCCATCTGCATGGTACTTTCTATATCAAACACTATTTAAAAATTCTTGTATGAAATATATTCAGAAACAACCAAACAAGTATTATTTTTGTACCATCCATCTGACTTCCAAAGCATTTTGATAAACAGGTGTGCCAACGTGTTAAGATTAATACACAGAAACATAAGCAATAGCTCATTTTTGTGTTCTTGTATATTGTATTAATAACTCTACACTACTTGGATTTGATATTATAATTACAATAGACACCCACAAAAGCTCTATTAAGAACTGAAGAGGAAAAAAAAAAATTAAGTTCCAAAACACCAAATTAACTGTTGCCCATGCAACTCTGATTTACTCTTTCCCCTTCGGACTGTATGGTATTACACACACACACACACACACACACACAGACAGAGTCTCTACACTCTTCCTCATACTCATGTGCATAAACATACACACCTATGTGCATGCATAAATACACACAAGTTCTCATTTTAAGTTAAATTTTGCCCTCTCCAGGGCACAGGACAAACAATTATGAACTTTTTTTAATTAGTAATTTGTTTTTATCATCACTCCCAACAGCTGCCAAAATCCCTCTTTAAAGACACCCACCAGTCCTTCACCAGCTCTGTCTCAGGCTCTTCTCTTCAGGCCCTGAAATCCATACTGAGGAATGCATGCCCACATTTTGGCCACATTCACATCAAAAAGATGTTCTCAAAGCCTGCGAGATTTTAGTAGCTAAAAATGCAGACATTTCTATCCAAATAAATTGGTATTTTCCAGCAGCTTTGCTGATCTGCACAAATTCGACAGTTCTCCATAGAGAAAATAAAATATATACAGTGGACAAAAAACATCCTCTTAGCAGATTTTCAAGACCTAGCACCAAATTATGAGCATTCAAGCATTTCACTTAAAATATCCCAAGGATTTAAGCAGAGCAGGATAACTTTTACTAAGCTTTTACTCAGTTATAGTTGAACTGAGTAAATATTTTCTTTAAAAGAAATTTAGTCTGAGGAAGACAGCCTATATAAAAAGTTTCAGTCTGAACAGAAAAGGTTACATGCCCTTGAAAACAGAAGAGGTGGCTGATTTTCAATAGGTAGTACAAAGAAATATCATTAACACGCAGAACAAGCAGTAACATTTACTTTGGAGCTATAAAAGACACACAAAATTGAAGTATTAGAAATTGGGTTAAAACACAAGTGACTGCAATTCAACTTACCGAACATTTTCTGGTCTCAGTTTGTCTAATACCATCTCTATTAAATCTGGCCTGAATTCTTCAAGCAAATATTCAGCAGCCAACACTTCCTCTATAGGATAATACTGAAACACATAATGCAGAAATATGCAGATGAATTAAACAACAAAACTAAATAGTAAAAAAATAAAAAAAGGAAAGAAAAGCACACACACACACTATACTGCTTTAATCTAAACAAGATAAAGTAGTACTCTGATAATGCAGATTTAAATTCTCCAAATTTTGGTACTTCTATATATTACCATTCTTTTGTCTTAAGTATTGCATGCTTCAATATAAAAAGCCATACACCTCTAAATATCAATTCACAGCAAAAAGAGTAAAAATAACGTGGCAAATGCTGACCCCTGGAGGACATTTTTAAAGATAAAAGAATGTCAATTAGTCACAACAGTGCAGCTGGGAAAAACACAAAACAGAATACCCTCAATATCTAAATCTTTCTAGGATTCACTAAAAACTCAACCTTTTTTACAGTATTTTAAAGCTAAGTACATATCACATACATAAAAGCTCAATATAGATTCAGTCATATTTATTTAGGGTTCCAATTACTGTGAAAATCTCTAGGATTTTCTAGCAAATCTTCAATGCGTGCAACAGTGTAGCAGCTTCTGGGCAGAAGCTACAGCCAGGGTAGAATTAAGATTTAAAGTAGCAAAGAGATAATGCAAGGGATTTCAGCAAATCATGTCAACTGCAAACTCTCGCTATCATGAGCACACACCAGCAACAAAAAGTGCTTGTAAGAACCATTAATGGGGAATACAACTTCTTGTCTCCCAAATCAGGTGTCCCCAATGCTTCACTGTGGCAGGCAGCCTCGTACCATCCTTGCACCTCTTCTTTGAAATTGTTGGTGCCTCTTTATTCAATTTTACTTGCAAGAGACTGAAATGGGATATTTCATCAAAGTGGGGAAAAACAAAACAGATGTTGAGTTATGTCCCATTTCTAGAATAGTAGTCAAATTATAAAATGGGAAATCAGATTTAGTTTTAAATACGTAGAACATGCTTCTCTCTAGCTGCATTTAGAATTCTATTGTATTCTCCTATCAGCAACTGTCATTTCTAGGAACATGTTCTTAAATTCACTTAGAGAGGTGTTTGGATTATTTTAAAGAGTTATGTGCATACAGAAATGTCAGTGAGCTATTATTATATATCTGAAAATGTATATAATGTAATTTTAAGACAAGGAAATTTTAAGACAGGCAATTAGATGGAAAGTCAATTACAATTTTTTGCAAAGTGATTAGCATAAGCCACTTTGGAGGCCCTTTTATAGGAAGGCAAAATACCAGGTTACCTAAGCTACAGGGTACTAGCAGTGTGCCATACAGCTGCTGGTTTAAACCAGTTTGGGTTTTAAAACCAAAATTATTATACAGGGGCTTTACGGATTATACACTATATATAAAATTGTAATGGAAGGAAAAAACAAAACAAAAACAACAAGAAATAAACCCCTGTGTCATTTAAAATAAATAAATAACACATTGTGAATGCTATAAACCCGTCAAATAGATCAGGCAAGAAAAGAATTTGAAAAGCCTAGTTTGAAAGACTCACAATACACCAAAGAACTCTTGCTTACCTACATCCTGGACCTAAAAAAATAAGCAATTTTCAAAAGGATATTTTAAGAAATCTCTAATTTCTAGTTTGTCTTAAGCAACACTGAAATAAACAGATGAAAGAGCATCTTTAGATATTGTAAAGTCAGTTTTACCAAGCATGGAATTATAAAACAGTAAAGAGGGAAGGAAATGCGACCTGTTAGCTGCCAATGTTAAGAGCTCATGAAACATGACTTACACTCAAGAAGTGCAAAGCATCTTCACAAATGTCCATATTTATTCACAGCAGAGAACTTAAACACACAGCCAAATGAAAAACATATTGTCCAAAAAGTCACTTACATGCAACATTCCTCCAAGTTTCGATGTATAACCTCTTGGTCGTTCTTTATCTTTAAATCTGAAAGCCACAGCATTTAGATCCTATGAAACAAGACAGCAAGGGATGAAAATATCTCTATATTTAATGCTTAAGGCTACTTACTAATAATAATACTTGGCAACCCCTAAGGCTACTTACTTCTTTTTATTACATAAGAAGAGTGGGAAATTGTATTTTATGCATTTTCTAGCAGTATTCAGTCTTGCACACACCACATGAGCAACGTGAGACAGTATCACAATGTAAAGCATTAAATGTGCTTAGCACTTCAGCATCCTAAAGTCCTATGTTGTAAAATACAGATGATGATCTTTCAAGCCATGTTCATACTAACAGATCTGTACCATAGCTTGGATTTTTAAATTTATTGGTAATCTGAAAACATAACAACCTTGATGTTATCAAAAGACAGAAAATGAACATCACACAGCAAGACTATTAAGGAACTGAACCCCTTCTCTTTTGCCTTTCTGTTCCTTTCATTTAGCCGGCCAAAAAATGAGCTTAGAGGCAGAAAAAGCACGTCTTCAGGCACAGAAATAGAACACATCATTCACAGAATACAGCTGCAAGGGTGACTTAAAGAGATACAAGCCTACAAGGCCAATGAAAGAGCTAGTCCCTTCCTCCTTCAAAATAATGCAGCAAGTCTGGTCAATTGAATAATTCAGGTGAAAATCAATTCTAAAAAATAAGATTGATTTTCAATCAGTTTTCCACCTTTTCCAACTCACTTCACAGCCTGAGAAGCGCTAGGGCTGACACAAGGATAAGAAACAGCTACGAGGTAGAGGACTGAACTATCTCATTCACCGACAATGCTATCTTAGATTTGCTTATGGGGACAGTGAAACAATTTCACTGGAATCATCTTAGCAGAGAGTCAAGAGACTTCTTTCATAGGAACACAGCATCAAAAAGCTAGGAATAAACATCTATGGAATTTCTAATTTTGGACAGAAGAGACAAAATACTGTTCACCAAGGAACACCCAAGATAAAATCCTGCGCATAAAAAAACTTTACCTAAGTATCTCTAGCGAACCAATGAGTGTGTGTACGTAGATGTGTGAATATGTATGTATATTGTTTTTATTGCACACTGTCATGGAGAAGTTCAGTACTATTTGACTCTGATATAGCACTTCTAATAGCAGTTCAGCTGATGCACTTTTCTCTCAAAAAAAAAAGTCAGATAACTGGTTATTAACATCCTACAGCCTTTACAATCTCGACTCTAAGGCTTGGCACATGAATCACAGTACCTTGCACTCTTGGAAAACCCATTCTTGAGGTCCTTCTGTGCGTAATTTTTGAATATATTGAAACATGTGTAAAATAATATCTTCAACGTGCACTGAAAAGAAAAGATGCTAGCTTAGTAATTTACTCAGTCCTGCAAGCGGAAGGTGTCCTGATGAAAACAGGTACGAAACGTGGCAATTTTAACTAGATCCTGAAACATCCTGTACATATTCAGTCCCACCAACAAAGTTAAGTGATCATTCATAGACTATAATTAAGTTTTCAGGTTCCCCACTTAACTCAGAAAACTGCTTTGAAGATGTCTAATACAATTGAACTCAAGTTTAAATAGTTTAAATAAACACCACATACAGGTATTTAAAAAATACATTTTCTTTTAAAGAAAAATTGTTAAGTATTAATGTATTAAAATAGTTTAATATAATTCAAATAAATTAGTTTCTTCAGATAAACAAACTGGGGGGAATGCAAACCTAGGGAAAAAAAAGTTAAAATGTATTGGCTTTCAAGGATTAATACAATTTTCTTGAATACAAATGCAAATCTCACCAGATCAGAAATAACACGGAATATAGATATAGCACTTTACTTACAAAGTCCTTCCTCTGTCAAGTCCACATTAATGATGAAAAACATGAAACCTCTAGCACCTTCCTTCTGCCCTCCAACTAGAGTATTTACCCAGCCTACGAAATCAAAGAGAAAATGTGTTACAAAAGCAAGTGTGTGAAGTGTTTCCCTACTTATTTGTATGCTTTGGCGATTTTCTATTACTTTTGCTTTGACATTTCTATCACTGGAGTGTTATTGGGTGTTATTAAGAACTTGAGAACATGGGGTGTTATGAAGAACCTGAGAGCACCCTGAAGGGGTGTTATGAAGAACCTGAGAGCATTTGGTCATCAGGCAATTGATCTCTATCTGGAACAATGTAGTAAAAAGAACAAGCCAAGATTGTTCCGAGTTCTCACAACATGTGCAATACAGTAATTTTGCAATCTTTACCTTTGTAGGACTTACCTTTGGCTTTAAGCTCTGATAAAAGGCTCCCTGGGCCTTCATGCCCAATCAGATGACCAAGATAATGACCAGGGTTTGATTTGTAGTATTTCTGAAGGTCTGGTATAGGAAATGTGACATAGAGATTTCTAATGTCCTTAATGGGTACCACTTTGTAGAGTTGCTGAAAATAAAAAGTAAATGAGAAAATCCATAAAACAAATAGAAATTCAACCAATCTCATGATTTCATGCTATTCAGGAGCACCTTTATGCACATACATTACTCACACAAACATCCAAAACAACAAATAAAAACTAAGGTATGTAAAAATTAGGGCAATACTTAAACCACTTTGTTTTTTTCACAAACCTTAACATGCTGCAAACACTAATTGTTTATTAATTATAGAAGTCATTATTACTCAGTTGCTTTCACTTTCATGCAATGTGCAATCTTTACTACAACCAAATAACAGAATCAGGATGGAGAGATAAGTGGAAAAATGGAGAAAGAAATACAGAACTTAACAGGGACACTGATACAGTAACATTGCACTTCAGCACTTCTGTGACATGAAAAGTATCACTTATGTGATACACTCTTGATGAAAAATACACTTCTATACCTACCCGGAGGTGTTCTTCTTGAAAAGGATGTTCAGGAAACTCTGGTATAGGGACATTTTTGTTTTCTACTTCTGAAAATAACTTCACCACTAAACTAGTCAGCTCATCCAAGGATTCTAGGGGATAAAAAAATAAAGCTGTCATTAGAAAAAGCATGCTGGAAGACAAAAAAGAAAAACCTATTTGAAATAGGAATGAATTCACAATAGTGAATATATTTGCAGGTTTATCTTCATCAATAATCAATAATATATCATATAATGCATATATATCATATATATGCTTTTACAGTAGATGTGCTGTAATAATCAATCTTACTGAAGACAATCAGGGAGTCTGGAACTGAACCAGCAATGAATATACACACAAAACTTCAGTTAAGTAAGAATTATCACCCTCACCATGTTTACTGGTCTTAAAATCTAGCAGAAAAGAAATTCACTTATACTCTATGATTAAAATTACACAGGCATGCTTCACTGGTGACCTTCATACTCAGCTTTGTTAGCAGAAAAGCCGTTAAGAGGGCTTTCCTCTGCTAATGAATTTTATTCTGTTCATATCCACTGAAGCATTACTGTAAAATGCCATATAAATACTGCTCTGCCACAGTATTTTCTTCAATAAGCAAACAGTTTTCAGCTCACTGTTATCAAGCTTTTGGCAAAGGCTCATAAAATATCATCTTGATTGTAGAAGGTGTTAGGCAACTGGAACTTCATTCAGCAAATGAAGCAAAGGTTCATGGCTAAATATTAAGTGAGCATAAAATAAACAGCTTAATCCTTGGAGGTTTCAGCTATTCTAGAACAAGTTCTGTCTGATATTTTGAGATCAGGTCGGCTAAAATGCTAATGGCTAAAATAAAACTAGTTAATAATAGCAAAATTTTCCCAAAATTTCAATGTTTCCTTTATCCTTCAACAAAAGAAAAATATTTGTAGTTGAAGTATAGGTTTAAAATATAAAAAGAGTAACAAAAGTCCTAACATCTGAAATCAGAGCAAAGTCAGTCTTTAGAAGACAAGCACATATAAAATGACTGTAACAGGTGATTTGATATAAATCATTTTATTTTTTAAGAGCTTAAGTAACACTCAGAAGTATTATTCAACCAACAGTGTAAAATTCTGGGTTCTCACCTCTTCCTAAAACACAAATAGCCATTAAATTTGATGAATAATAAGTAGAATGGAACTTCAATAGCTCTTGTCTTACATCTATTCCTTCTTTGGTTGGTCTAGTTTCCAAAGTGAGTTTGTTCCCTGTAACATAAAATAAAATTTAATGATATAGCTTGGGATGAGATAAACTTTATGTTTATGAATTTACAGACCAAAAACAAAAACATGAATGAATGAATCTGCTCTGCCCCAGATTAACAGTCATTTTAAAAAGAATTAGCATGCATAATAACAAACAAATTGGATCAATATCATCTCAGCTTACTACAGCCAATAAATACTTCCGTTCTCAAACTGCATCCTCCTCAATAGCCTAGGAAGCTTCAGTCTTCTAAAACAATCCTTTAACTGAGTTATTTTTTAAACAATATAATTATACTCATAAACCCATAAAACTGAAATTCAGAACACGGAAAAGCTTTTCCTTTGGCCCATCTGTAGCAGGTTTTTACTCCCATCCACACACATCCCTCACAGGAATCATTGTGTGCTGAACTGCCACAAATTATAGCCTGTACATTAAGACAAATTGAAATAAACAGTTACTCATTTCAACATCTGGTTTGTAAATTGTGACTGTTCAGCTCTGCTAAACATGGTTCAGCTAAGCTGCTGCTGCTGCACAGAGAAACAGGACTAGAATGCAGCAGAACCATGACAACTGTCCCTAAATAAGTCCATATTTGCAGAAGGGTCACAACTTTCTGCATTGAGTTATTTTCTATTAACCAGTGCAAAATTTACACCAATGTCAAGCTTCGTATAATTATTATACTGGAATAGTTTACACTTATAACCAATGCAGAATTCTTGCTTAGTGTAAAAGCAGGAACTCGAGGCAGCAGGAAAAATAGAATCTACAAAGAACACACTGCCTTTTGATCAACTGCACTTCCATTTATTGCATGGACACACAAAAACACCCATAGGACAGCGAAACTATCTGCCACCTGTGAAACTAGCAGCTTGCTGAAGCCAAACATGGACCATCTGCAGAAGAAAGCAAAGGAGGAATGAGGCAACAGAATGTTTAAAGAAAAAAATAAAACATGTTTAAAGACAAATGTCCAGATGTTAGGGGACTGGACACAAATCTTATTGCAAATGCAAGAGCCAACAATATAATGTGCAGAGGGGCTGTTTGAAGCAATACATTTCTTTCACTTCTAAGCGTCACATGTAAGTGAATAAAAGATTCCTAACAAAGCTCAAAGAGGATCATTAAGGTAGCATACTTAAAATACTTTGCTCCCAACCTATAAACTACAGCAGCTTATCAGATTATACAGTTTTAAGCCTACAGACAAGCAAAATGCAGGACTTTTAAATACCCTAGCACGTTCACTCCCACAGAGTCAATATATACGTTAAACAGGGAAAGGCAAAGCACTGGCTTTAGCACTGCCAACGTGTTATTGGAATGCTGGAGTAAGCTGACAGACAACTGACACAGGGCACCTATAGAGGTAATAGAATGGACACCAGACATCGCAGAACTGCTTAGGGAGGTGCTGGACACTCTTGAGGGCGAGATGGGTGTGCGATTCAGTGAGATGTGTGAAAAATATCTTGGGACAAAATACTGATACTAACTAACAAGAACACTGAAGGAATAAGGTATATTTGGATATGCAAAGGAGACCAGAAAGTTTGCTGCAAAAAGAAACTGGATTTGTCATGAAAATCACACTGTAGTTGGCACCTCCAAGTAAATAAAAGCCAAAGCTTCTTGTAAAAAATCACACTCCAGGTGTTCCCTCTATGAGAACATACCACCTTTCCCAGCTGTAAAACCTTCCTAAATTGTATAAAACTGTTTCTGCAACTTTCATTGATGTTTTCTGGATGCTATGGAGCAATTTAGAAATAATCTCTTCAGTAAAAGCAGAAGTTTTCTTCAGGAATGCAGGAAGGACAAATTCTACCCCTCTGCGATTACAGAACACAGGTGGAATAACTGCTTGTGTGTCACTATGCAATGCCTGGAAACCGTCTTTCCGAATTAACTTTTGAAGGGAATACAGTTATAATTTTCCCATTTCAGAGAGCCTCTATTGAACAGAAAACAGCCAACACAGGCTTTTGCAGCTGCTGGCTACCAGCCTTTCACAACATCATACACAAATTCTTCTTGTTCTGAAGACAGAGGAGGACAGCAGCCTTAAACCCATTCCCGTCATCCTCCAGCACTCAGTATTTGCACTACTGCTCTTCCAGCTAATGGACTCAACCACAAATAAMACTGAAGCTCAAGGACTAGACAGCACAAAACATAGATTAATGGCCCTATTATTTTTATGGTTTCACCAATAAATTAGCAATTCATGTAGAAAATAACTGCAGCATGGACAACTTCAATTAAACTTTGCCAGAATGTCAAAAAATGTGGGTTTACTCATAACCGTAATATATAATGCCTTTTACATTTCAGTCTGCATAATTCACAGAATGATTTAAAAAAAAAAAAANAAAAAAAAAAAAAGAGCTTTATAGCAATAAAATCAGGGTCTGTCCAAGACTAGTTTTCCTAGCCATCTACTGCTATTGTATTTTATGCTTAAGGATTCATAAGGATTTGTTTTTGTATTGTTTTTATGTTCTGCTTCAATGATCACCACAGTACTCTGCTTACCTTTGTGGTCAGTACCTTCTCTTCGAGCAATAGTTGGGAGCAGAACAGCATGTGGCTAACGGCTACTCAAACACGGGCTGTTCGCTTTGTGTGCACTAAAGACACGCAGCCCCAAATTACAACTCAATCCAGTCACTGGAAAATAGCATCCACTGCAGTGCTTATTAGAATCATAAAGGGCCCATAATCACTGCACTGCAAACCTTCTATCACCCTGTTTCCTATGTTTAAGGCCATCTCTGTTTGGTCTATGATGTGGAAAATGTAATAAAGCACCACAACAAATACGCACAGAGCTGGGAAAAAAAGGGAATTGTTTCAGTCCTGTCTTGACCAATTTCATATAAACAATATTACTACATACATTAAACAAAACTCCAATGGATGGATAACTGTATTCTGACAAACCTGTTCCAAATTTACTGAAGGGATGATTGGGGTTTCCAGTAGCCTTCTCCAACTGAAACAACCTCCAGGCATCATTCATTAGATTCTTCTCATGCTCAGAATCAACTGCATTCACTTCCCTGTCTTTGCAGCTCTCATCAAACAAAGGGCACAGGAAAAACTGGGCAAATCTAAAGAGAAATTGTTCGTTTTTTTCAAGTCAAAAGCACTGAACACACAAAAAAAAGTTAACATGAAAATATAAAGCTAAAACCACTTACTGGAAAGAGCTAAATATATTAATTAAAGGGAAAAAAAAATACAGAATTCTTAATCCAAGCATAATCTTGACTTGCATTCATTACCTTTATCGCTTAACTTCTTTATCTATAAACGCAGACAAATAACAGATTCATCAGAGAAGATACTACAAGGATCTTATATCATTACAAGGATATTACATCATACTTCACACATTCAACACTTTCTTGGCTTACAAATTTAGTGGCAAGAGGCTCTTCATCTTGCAAATCAAATCAATCTTTTGTCCTTCTTCCAGAAACATATATAAGAATTCTATTGCATAGGCAAGAAAAAACACATTTCTCACACAGGAGAAAATCCTCTCACTTTGCCTTACTGACTACACACCTTTAAATTTATGCCTCTCTCCCACAAAAGGCAGAAATGCAAGCCAATTCTTTTACTAAAGGAATCCCATTTCATTTCTGAACTTCATCCTTCTTATGCTAGGAAGGATGTAAGGATCCTGTGGCATGCACAATATTTGATCATATATTCAGAGTATTTGTACAATGCAAAAGCTTACGAGCACATTCTGTGCCCCAATACACAATCCTTAGACTGAAAAATCAGCCTTGAGGAATAAGTCTGATGGCTGAAAAACTGAGCAAAACTTTTTTGTAGTGAACATCCAGTGTCAACTTCAGCTAAACAGTGTTCTCAACTTTGTCTTTATTATCACAAAGATAAAAGACTGTCAGCAAGAACTTCTACGCAATTTCAAATGGCAGAAGTTTTAACTAATTCAAAGTCAGCAAGACTGTGAGTTTACCTGTCCAGGGCACCTTCCAGATGCTCATGCGACACGTCGAAGTAGTAGTTGGTGTGCTCGCCGCTGGTGAAGGCGTTAGAGCTGCCGGCGTGCTCGCTAAGGAACTGGCTGTACTCGTTCTCCTTGGGGTATTTCTTGGTCCCCAGGAACAGCATATGCTCACAAAAATGGCTAAGCCCCGCAATGTTGGGGGGATCTGACAAGGATCCTGCAGAAGGAAAAAATTCGTAAGACCTTCATGAAAAGAAAAATCAAAACACTAAGTTTTGTAGTTTTTTTTTTTTTAATCATGTTTTACATTGCAGCTTGTTGCCTCAGTCAATTATGCTAGTTCTGTAGTTGCAAATAGACACTTGGACAATTATATCCAAACAAATTCAAACTTCAAAAATTTAAATGAGTAACTGAACTAATTAGTGTCTCAAATTGCCTCACCAAATCAGCCTGCATTGGCTTATAGAGAGACAATTTCTAAATTTAAGTCCATGACTCAATCTGTAATGATCTGGCAGATCACAATGTTCTGACTTCTATACCTTGATTTCTATAACTGCACTTCATTAAAAGGTAGCAATTGCCAGATGACATTAAGGAGGTTATTTATCCTGTGGTTTATAGGGTTAGGGATAAGCCATAAATGCTTGAAAAGAAGCAGCTACTGATGATCAGCTAGTAGGTCTGAAGGAACACAGACTTAAAAAATGACAATAGTTTGCAGGAACGGAAGCCAGAAATGTGGAATTTTGAGCCTGGCTTGTGCAATGGGAGAATGGTGGTGAAAAATACTGAGACATAGAGGAACTGGACACGGCAGCTGGCTGCTACTACCATGGCATCCAATAGAACTAGTTAGGAGTTTCTGAACTAAACTTATGACAGCCATCCCTGCTGCAAGAGGGTCCAGAGGCTTTCACGATTACTCTACATCGGCCTTAACACCAATGGCAGTAAATACAAACAGAAAGAGGAAGAGAAGGGTATGGAGGTAACATGTGGCTGCATATTATTTTGAGAGCAACTAGAAAGCTACATAAATAAACACTTTAGTGATTTCAAAGAGACAAAGTACCTGCTTTTTCCATCCCTTCCCAATATTTCTGTTTGGAAAAACTGCACTCACATGCTCCCCTTTTCTGCTTATAAAAGGTCTTGCATAACTTGAAACTTAACGGTTAAAGAAATCTCTCTGCAAACTGAGCTACACTTGAGTAAACACAGAATATATCTAGTGAATTTAATTAGCTCCAATAACTTCCTATTTGATACATCAAAATATTAAATAAACTTTAAATTACAGTAAAAGGCCAGGCTGCCAACTGGATGCTATGTAAAAGTTACCGAATTTTTGCTGTATAGTTCCATCCATTTACTTGTAATTAAAATAAAGCAGTTTTTATTAATAATCTAATGAACACAAAATATATCAAATACCTATGTGTACGTCAAGTGCTGCCGAAGATTTATCTGTGGTGGGGTCGCTGATGAGAAGTGCTTTAATGCCATTTGCCAATTCCAGTCCACGATATTCCCGCTTATCTTCAGGTGATTTGATAATTTCATTTGTTATTCTCTTAATAGCTAGACTGTTCATTTTGTTATTTGTCTCCTTCTGAATCCTTAAAAAAAAACCACATAAATTTTTACTTTAGCACTGCTAAAATATGAATAAGTATATTAGAAAATAGGCTGGGAATGATACAAAGAGCAAGAAACTTAGTTCCATGTAAAACTCATAAAACTGGATTAAATATAAAGTTACAGTTCAACCACCGAGAAACAGTCACGTTAAAGACAAAGTGATACAATAAAACTGCAGATTGCCCAATTGAATCAATTTTCTCTTTCACACTTACAGCAATTTAAGAAGTAACTTATAAGAAAATACCAATCCCTTCTTACAATGAAATGAAATGAACAGAAGCAAATTAAAGTCTGTATTGCTATCTGGAGTGATTTTCTGGGTTCAGAAAAGTATTCTATATCTTTGCATTGGTAGTTACATTATAAATGTTATAATTTTGCCATCATCTTAGGTAAACAAAAATTTTACTGGGTGAAATAAAACAAAGTGCCTCACATGTTGAGGCTTCCACTATTGGTGTAACAAAGAGACCTATTTGCTTAATGACAGAATTTTAAACACTCATAAAGCAAGGGCGAGTCTGAAATTATTATCCCTGGCTATTTAATTCACTGCCAAGTTGAAAGGCGAGCGGCGAGGGCAGCCGCTTGGCTGCAAGAAGGACGGGGAAATTTAAGGCGATCCCAGCGGAGCTCAATGCGGGAGCGGCGCCCGGAGCACTCACGTGCCTTATCCCTGTGCAATCAACTTGAACTCTGCTTTACAGCGCAGGACCTGGCGTGAGGGCATAGCACAACTAAGCCGACCTTTTTTTCTTTTTTTTTTTTTTTTTGTGGTGAAAATATCACCTTTTACATTGCCAAGTAAATTATTATATGAATTTGGGTTAGTAGCTGGTGAATTCATTTCACTTAGGAGCCAAACCAGACACATGCCTAAGTTTCCAGGCCTAAGAAAATTGTGCACAGTTCTATCCATATCGCTTATGTAAGCAGGAGTTTCACTCTGTTTATTTTCACATTTTCAGGTCATACGGTTCAAAGAATTTCATGGAAGTTTGCCATGCTTTAAGACCGTACAGAACGCACTGCGCAAAGAACTGCACCGTTTTCTACTTATTTACTGTCCTGTCTCTTCAGCCACAAATTTTTAGAGAGAGAAAAGATATTTTGAAGAAAAGCACTCGAGTAAGCATTAGATAATTGAGTACTTCTCAAAGAAGTCATAAAATTACTTTGGAATTTTTAAAAATTACAGAGCACCGTCATACAAAAGATTACAAACAGGAATTATAATTCCATAAAACAGAGAAGCCCCAAGTAAAGAAACCATCAAGGGAAATTAAACATCATGCCTGCAGTCAAACATAATGTTAAACAACAACGGAAATGCTCAACTCAAATGCCTGCAACTCTTGTTTAGACCCGCTCCTTATCTATCGGTTTAAACCTGCACCGTGGCTAATTCTGTTTGGAGTGTGTCTTCAAATCTACACATTTCACCCTGATAATGAACAATTATCACTCTATTTTTAGGTAAAACATTCTACCTCATCAATATACTAGTTGCTTGCTGTAAGATGCATACATACTTAGTCACTTCTCAAGTTTTTCTGATCATGTTATACAATTTCTTTGATCCAGCATCTCCTTGTTATTTCTAAACCGTATCATTAACTCACAGAACTTTTGTTCAAATGATTCATCTTTCCAACGTGATTCATCAAATTACGTCGCTTCTGTGAAATCCTAGGAGATTTCAATTGATGTTTTCTGAAGCTGCACACCTCCATTTCATTTTATTATCAGCCCCTATTTTCTGCCTCTTTCAAAGGTTACCTCAAATTTGGTAGTCAAATTTCAAGACAGGAAAAATTACAATTCTCAAAAGTTCAAAGTCAGTAATTAAGCCATCAAACCAAGGACTTAACCTCATTACCTCCGTCTTGATTGTTATTTCAATGGGAATTATGAATGTAACATTCTCTTCAACTTCAAATGTATTTGCATGATTAACCCTCCGTTATTTTCCCTGCAAAACATATTGTCCCACCAGCAAATTCACATAAAAGCAAGAGCAGATCAACTATGAAATATTCTTGGTAGGCAATGTGTCAAAAGAACAAATGAAATATGAAAGACCAAAACTGTCTGGCTAGAGTACTGTTGCTCCTGGTGCTATGCTATTATAATACAACAGTTAGGCAAGACAATTTCATATGAGATAGAATATTCATACAGGGGCATTTTATTTAGGAGTAAATTACAAAACATAGTATCAACATTCCCTTGTATTGCAGCTTTTCTGCACAACTTCAAACTTCTCTTAGAGAAACTCCTTTATAACACCACCACGCTGCACCTTTCAAACAAGGATTGCAAATCACTGCAACACAAACTACCTTCTAACAAGAGAATTGCTTTTGACAACAGAAAAGAAAAATGGGACAAAAAAAATTCTGCATTTCTTCTCATAGCCTCATCCATTGAGGAATGCTTGAAAATTGCCCTAAAACATCAGTGTTGTATGTATGCATGTGTGTGCAATATACATATATGTTCATAATACAAGTACATATATATATTTATGCATATAGTATGCATATAACAAGTGTGTATATATATTACACACTATATATATATATATGTATATAGCCATACTATTATTAGAGCGAGCACTGGATGCTGATGTTCAGTAGCCATGAAATCAATCGAGAAACCAGACGCAACAGAGCCAATGTACTAAGAAAGAGGCCATTAAAAGAAAGACTTTCATACTACCCCTACAAAACAGAAATGACAGAGAAAGCCCCAGCGAAGTAAAAGCAGCAGGAGCGGATATAAAGCACTACAGGGGCATTGGGGGAATTCCTCCTTGGCTAGAAATTGCAGGTGGCAGATAACTCAGAAGGAAAAATGGGAAAAGGAAAGAAGGAGCACCTCTAAACTACAAGCATCGCCTCTATTCAATATAGGGAGCACTAAATTATTTTTTTTCCATTCTCAACTAAAAGTCTTAACCTGTACAAGGGAAAAAACCCAACAAAAATAATAACAAAAAGCTAAAACAGGTGTTGAATTTTAAACTATAGCACTTTAAAATAAAATTACATTCGAATCCTTAAGGCCTCATTCCTGTAATGAGTTCCAGGCAACTAGTCCCTTGCAATCAGCAAGGCTCTTTGGGGATTCCAGGTTCCAGCTGAGAAAAGAATATTGCAGAGCAGGAATGGGATTAAGTGGTATATGATTCTGTCTAACAACTTTAATCTTTCATAGTTATTTTAGTAGACTTATTTTAATTAAAAATTAGCCCTAGTAGTCAAACCCTAGTTCAATGTTTGAACAATTAAAGGACCATATTTGAAACCCAATTAGCACAAACTCCTGAGAGCTGTCTCAAATGAAAGAACACATTAGCCAATAAAAAACGTGGCTCCCAAAAGCACGAACTCCACAGAGTTTTTCCCCAAACTGATGGCAAAACATGCTGCAGATTTTTAAGTCAAATGTTAGCACATAGGCATGAGCTAGATCAATGTCTATAAGCAGTGATCACCCCTAAGTAACCAGATGAATGGCAACAGCTACCACCTTAGCAATATTTGATTCCAAATGATCTCAGTTACATTAAAAATCACGGTTTTCTTGAAGTGCAAGACACTCGCTGTAAGTTTACAATCGTGTACACTCGGAAGTGAGTTGTGCCTGATTTTCAACTCATGCCTCTCATACACTCAAAAGCATCTGCCTTTTGCATACACTCAATACGGACTGGATCCATGTGTTTGTAAACCACTCTGACTCAAGTTCTAACTGTGGCTTTGAAACTATGCAGAGGCTGTGATAATGTTCAACCTCGTATCTTGCACCTGCTCCAAGTTCTGTATTTTCCTTATAACCCTTCTGTTTTTTCAATTCCAAACCTCATGGCCTCCCACCTCCAAGAGACTGAAATGTTTGTCGAGCCAAAACCTCTCTCTGCTCTGAACTTTCAGGGCTGTTTCCTGTATTGCTTATGAGCCCATTTTTTTTTACGGTTCTTAACAACCTGCATGGAGGAGCCCATCAGCTGCAAATGCCTGGATTGAAGGAAACGCTGGGGGCTTCAGCAGGAGGCCCAGGGCTGCGGAACCACCAGCCAGTGGAAACCAGCCCAAGTTTCCTCACCTCTTTCACAGGAAAGACAGCACTGAACTGAGCACGTTGGGAGGATTTCATGAACTTCCTCAGTTACAAGCCGGGGGCTTTACAACAATAAAATAAAACTCCATTCTTCTCCATGTCTCTGGCCCCGCTCTTTTTCCACTCGCACGGAGCGCTCCTCGTGATGGCAGCGCCATTGCACGCATTGTGACATCCCTCTCTGTGTAACAGTGATTCTACAGGCAAGTCAAGCAGCCATCTCCTGCCCTCAGCCTCAATTCACTCGCATGCTATAATTACACTTAATTTTGGCCTGTACAATTAAGGGCTTCCCTAAAATGTTTTTCTGTTACCAGGAACACAAAGTTAAATCAACTGGAGTGACCTGCACATATAGGTGCTGCCCATAGTTTTTTTTACCATTACAGGTTCTCAAGTAGAGAAAGCCAGCAAGCCCACCTTTAAACATATGGAGATTTAAGCAGCTCACATTCTTCAACATTCATAATCCACAGTAACAATCTTATGTAAATTTAGTTGTCAAGAAGATGGAGAATGCATCTAAGATCTCAATGTATTCTTAGATGCTGAATTAAATAAATATGATTGCATATATGAGCAGCCAGGCTGCATAAGCAGACAAACTGTTTGAAATTTTAACACTCCTGTGTTTTTGGACTCAGCAGGAATTCAGCATACGATTTTACATCACACACACAAAAACCCCACAAAAGAGATGCACAACAAATTAATCAATGCTACACAGTAAGAAGGACTAATCACACAAATTTGGGGATAATTAGTATATCTGGGCTGGTTACAAAGTTGATTTTGAGGGAATTCTGAAGTCGTGCTACAATTAGAGCATTTTCCAGACCTCAGAGATCTGCAGCCTTCTGCCAAGTCTCCGACCTGGACAATTCCTCCTGGATGCCTGTGGCCGGGTCCTTGCTCTTGCCCCGGAAAGGGTCCAGCTTCCAGGGATTTCAGGTCACAGCAGGAAAACCTGGTGTGCAACAGGCTCACGGGCCAACCTGCCAGCAGAAGCGCTGCTGGGGCACATCAGTGCTCACAGCTGCCAGTAGGATTAATCAGAGGATGCAGTGTGTGAACCTGGCAAAAACAAGGGCCAGGGAGTTTCACACACAAGATCAGAGCCCAAGTATTCAGGCCAGCTGGCCTCAATTGTAAAGTGACGGGTGTTTCCACAGGCCTGGGTTGGTCACACAAGGCAGGATAACATAAACAAGAAACCAACAAGCAACTTACTGTCCTAAAAATATAGTCCTAAATCCGATTGTTTCACAGTTTCCGATGCACTGGGTAACAAAATCATATCAAAAGACAGGGGTTTATATGATCTAATTTCAGGCATAACAATAAAGGATAACACGATTTTTTTAAATTGCTACACCAGTGCAGCCTTCTTCTATAGCTCTTTTAAAACTGCCCCAAGCAAATCATCAAAACACATCCTCCAGGATAAACAAGCTTTATCCAAATTCACCAAAACCACTTAAAAAAAAAAAAAAAAAAAAAAAAGCACAAACAGCCGCAGCATTTCAGTCTCGTGTTTTTATCAGATTGCTTTTCCAGCAAATCTGGGGAAAAAAACAGGCAAATTCCAAAGCCTTTTCTTATTGAAAGGCTGGTTCTTTAAATTACTGATTTTAATCTTCAAACAATATGACAATACAGGATCTTCAGAATGATTTCACAAATCTGGTGATACTGAGTTTGTATCATTATTTTTCAACGGAGTCAAGTCACATGCTAATCATGAGACTGATAAGACTAGTTTCTGTGTTGCATGTCCAGCTCCTTAAAAGTGCACTTTACTCAATCTCCTCCAAAATGTATTTCTGTATTCCATTAATTGCTTTATATATAAAATACTTGCAAGCCAGTGTGTCTTATTCTCCCTTCCTCTTTCCAGGCTTTTTTTCCCCCTTGCTACCCTAGAGCTGCAAGGCTTGATCCACAAGCACAATGCAGCAGGGTGTCTAGCACACAGCCTTGCACATGCCAGGATATTTATAAGATTAGATACCAAAGGAGAGACCCCTGTGCTTTATTCTACGCTACCCAGTTTTATGTGTATTTCACATATTTTATCAGCAAGTAGCACATCATATTGCCCGAGATGCTTTGTAAAGCCAACTCACTTTACACTTCATGTTACCATCTGTCTCATATCCTCAAAAACTTGGGAGCTCTGAATAAAAAAAAAAGATTAAAAAAAAAAACACACACACAACATCAGACCAAAACTTTAGTTGGACTGAAAAACAACAAAAAATACATGGTAAGACCGGAGAACTGGTAAGAAAATCTCATCTAGTTATAAAGAACTGTAGAACTCCGAATCATGAAAAGCACTGCCCAGAACTTTCCTCTTTTGTTAGTCTAATACTAAAAGATAACAACTGTATATTATTCAGTGTAATCCTCTATTAAAAACAACAGCTTATTGAACAGTAGAGCTTTGACAGAACCAACAGCTCTAGCAGGAACAGCTTATAAAAGACACTCGGTAGTGTGTTTTAACAAAGGTATTAGCAACTGTTTACCCATTTTGTGCATTACTTTCTACGATTTGGGATATTTCAGATCACATACAACCATTAACACTATAAGCAAACTTTCAGTTCTACAGCATTTTCTTCTGCTTGGGTAGTTCAAAGAAGCTGTAGCTCTGACTCACTCTGAAAAAAATCAAGTTGCAGAGGCGAGATCTAAGTAAGAAAGCTACAATGAACTGACTTTTGAATAAGTTCTATCCCCAAATCACTTTTTTTACACATATGCAACACTGTCTCATAAGAATATTTATCAACTTATGCACATAAAGCTGGGAAAATAAAGGCACTCACTGACAGCAACTTGCCATATACAAATATATAACAGAACACACATCAACTAAATTAATTGCTCTCCAGCCATTTCTTACCACAAAAATGTCCATTTAGTATTTCATTAAAAGGTTAACGTGTGAATGTATCAAAATTGTTTATTATGAAAGCATCTAATAAAACACAATTAATATACCAGAAATATCAACCCAACATGTGATTTCCCAGAGAGATTGGCAGTATTTTTAGGAGATGACTTAGGCAAAACCTTGCAATGACCCCTAGCTATGAGCCTAGCATGTTCCAGCTCATTGAAACAGGAGCTGCACTCGGAGTAGCAGAATTTTTGCCGCTTCCTCCTCTTTTTTCCTGCACTTAAGAGAGTAGGGAGCTATGTCCAGATTCATGTGCAAAATGAGTTTTACCCTTGACCCTTCCATCAGTTTGACACATCCACACGCTGCAGACAGGGAAAGGGAGCAGGAAAGCACACACACGAGCAGGAATCCTTCTAGGGACTTCCCAGCACCACTTGATTTTTAGTTGTTGGTGAAATCAGAATACATAATGACACTGCAGCACACGAGAGGAAGAGGAGGCGAGAGGAAGGTCTAAGTGAGGAGCAATCCTAGCTACTTTATGTACACATGAAGGTTGGGTGACAAGCAATCAGACGACAAGCACAAGTTAGAGCCCCACAAGTGCAAATTTCAAACAAACCCAAACACAAGAACAGGGGATATGAATTCAAGAACAAATTATCCAAAATTCTATCTTAAAAAAAATCCAGTGAAAGCATTACGCCTACTCTCAATTCCTTATTATTTATGTAGATGCTAACTCACAATTGCAATAGAGCAGGTGCTTGGACCACGGCTGCAGGCAGTATGGAAATGGTCTCGCAAGCAGAGCCAAGTCCCCACTCGGGAGCCGGCGCGGGCCGATGGAGAGGGGATACCCGGGAGCGGCTCTGCGGCCCCTCCGCGGCACAGCGGCCACGAGCAACAACGGGGCGCCCAGACGTTGACGCGCGAGAATTTGCGGCGTGAGTCATCTAAACCTCCCAAAAAAAAAAAAAAAAAAAATGTTTTCGAGATTTCTTACTTGTACAGCGAGGAGGCCGGGCGCGGCGGCAAGGACGGCAAAGGCGGCGGGAGGGCAGCGGGGAAGCGCTGGCTCCGCCGGCCGGCGGCTGCTCGCGGCGCCCGGGCAGGCGGCCGCGCGGCTCAGCCTCACGCCGAGGGCAAGGGGGGTTCTCCGAAATAAAGCTCTGTGTCAACACGAGCGAGCCCAAACGCCGCTTTCGCACCAAAAACGACCCCAG